GCCAAAAATTGGTAACCGAGCCATTATACATCCATTTTAAACTGAAATAACTAGTTGGAAAAATGTATCTCGCTTGTTGACCTTATGACCTCAATATCCGGGGGGTGTGGTCGAATTTAAAAAATCTGGGAATATATATTTCGCCCAACGGTCCAAGGCTTCAAAAACATTTGGAATTTTGAAAATCCATCAACAACATAAGTCACAAGAAATTTTCAAAATCTTGCATGTTTTTATTTATGGCCAAGTTCTATTGACCTTTGACCTCGGTTGGAGGTCAAACCAGTGAAAATCTGGGGTCGGAGGTATGGAGACTTTTGTTCAGCACATCGAAGTCTACAACATATCAAAAATTCAGAAAATTCGACGGCAGGCAGTTTTCCCATAAGAAGGGTGCCTCCTCCTTAGCATAAGTTAGGGAAGACCAGTGTCACATTTACATGTATCATCACTATACTGCCACGACGTGCATTGTAACGTATTGAGGGTGCATCAAAAACGGTACTAATGCACTGCATGACAGGATAATGATAATTGTAAAGGTGACAATGGTTAAGACTCCAGCAATTAATGTAATCTGATAAAAGTCGACTTCTGAGAAACTCATGGTCAACTCTTGCCAGATTAATTAATTACCAGAGCCCAAAGACCAAGTGTCCGGGGGTGCTAAAGTGAGGATCATGTAAAAGCGCACTAAACCCCAGACACTTGATTGAGACAGCTGAATATTGATTAGGAGGCTAACGTTTGGCGATGACTTCTTAAAATCCGTACGTGAGGTGGGGAATTTTCATTGTCTGATTCCGAAATTGGTTGTGAGTCTCTCAATGTTGACGAAGATGAGGGTCCGGCCACGCTTTTCAAGACATCACCTGCGTCCAAAAAGTCCAAAACTCGTGGTCTTCTTCTCCTCATATTTTCAGGCTGATGGCGTTTATACCCCAGAAACCATACCACCTGCAAAGTAGAACAACATTACACAATTCTTCATGTTACATATAGTAAATACAGTTTGATATGCGATATGTTTGGTAAGATACTTACGCAGGTAACATGTGCGCACATACCGACGGTCCGTGCCCCTTGCCAGCAGTCGCAGTAGTAACCAGTGATGGCAAGATGGCCTTCTAAGTTGCAGTCAAATTCGATCCACAATTGATGCTTCTTAGCAGATTTAAAGCGGCTGTCCAATTTAGCCCGAACAACTCCTGGGAACTCTTCATTCAGTTGAATTGTAAACTCCGAATCTTCATTGAGGTGTTTCTTCGTGTATTCTTTGGCAAGCGATAATTGGTAGACACCAAGAGTCAACTTTTCCAGGTCTTTCACTAAAAGCACTGGAAAGTCTTGAAATATTTCGGATGATGCATTTACCCAGGCTTCAGTCTTCTGATCCAAGTTTTCACGTGATACCCTCTTTTGCATTTGATTTTCCATTTGTGACCTGGCCAATGCATCCAACGCAATTTGCTGATGTCGCTCTGTATCGTCCATCAGCGGTGGACAAAAGCAGTTGATGATGGACATTGCAATTCGAAAAAATCTAGTAACTTTTGGAAGATATGAGCCCGGGATAACGTCAGAAAAGAATTCTTCTTGTACTTGTGATCATTGTGAGAGGATAACTCTATTATCCATGCTGCTATATCCGAATCCTTCATGATGACACCACTCTTATTGGCGATGATATTATTCAGATCATTGGGCAGAAATCTTCCATTTTCCAAGTGACTTGAACAACAGCGATTGCCATGTGGAAGAAGTATGTTAATTTCATCCCAGACTTGTTTTATCGCGGATTTTGGTATTAGTTTCCTGTCATCCGTTCGTTTACATAGGAAGCAAAACTTCTGGGTTGAAGTGACTGATTTTATAGTCTTGAGTCGTCTATTGGAAATAGTGGATGACTGTGAGTTGATAGAGGCTTGTGAGTGAATTATGGAACTCGAGACATTTAGACTTCACTGGGCACTGAAAACTTGAGAGTCGGAAGTGATTGAAAAAATCTGAGATTGGTCAATTGATAATGACATATCGTTGAGGACGGGTCCTGCTCGCCGTTGTTGAGGGGGGAGCCGTCTTGCTCGTCATTGTTGAGGAGGGAGTCGTCTTGGTTGGCGCTGTTCAGGAGGGAGCCGTCTTGCTCGTCATTGTTGAGGAGGGAGTCTTGCTCGGCGTTGTTGAGGAGGGAGTCTTGCTCGGCGTTGTTGAGGAGGGAGTCCTGTTCGGCGTTGTTGAGAAGGGAGTCCTGTTCGGCGTTGTTGAGGAAGGAGTCTTGCTCGGCGTTGTTGAGGAGGGAGTCCTGTTCGGCGTTGTTGAGAAGGGAGTCCTGTTCGGCGTTGTTGAGGAAGGAGTTGTCTTGGTCGGCGTTGTTGAGGAGGGAGTCGTCTTGGTCGGCGTTGTTGAGGAGGGAGTCGTCTTGCTCGGCGTTGTTGAGGAGGGAGTCTTGCTCGGCGTTGTTGAGAAGAGTGTATTGCGCCTCTTGTTGGTACTCGTCCTCATGATAGGTGTCACGATAGCCATTTCGCCGAGTTCTCTTTGTTAACAATTCGTCCTCAGGGATGAATGGCAGAGTTCGGCGCAATTTGTAACCGTTTGGCTTCGTATCTGCACCAGCCGCTCCTCGAATCTACAAAATTAATAAACGAGTATAACTTAAATACCTACATACATGTTCACAATATCCAAATATTTACCTGGCAATGGTGTTTGGTACAAACGATGTCGGTTTTCTCATAATTTTGCCATTCCTGAACAAATTCTTGGAATTGAGGCCAAAATTGTGGTTCGCCTACACGCTTTAGCTGAGTCGACGACGGTATTTTGGTTTTACAAACAGGAATACAACATTTAAAAAACGGCATTTCGAAAACTGTTTGGATTTGGGGGAGAAATTGATTTTGGAGTTGAACTTTGCAATATATTTTTTGTACCAAATTTTTTGCATTGTTTAATTTTAACATCATTTTGTGGTTGACAACACGGCATGGTGACAGTTTTTGTGGGAAATATATGTTAATTTCTCTATAAAAACCCTATCGGGATTTTAGTCATACTGCTCAAGGTCCCCGAAGCTCTGGGCTGTTTTTTATTTATTGCGATCAGAAGGACTTGATGTATAAAATTATTTAAACTTGAGCTAGAGCTTGAAGGACCTTCCCTAAAATAAATTGCCAAAGTTATGCATATTTGGGCCGTGAGACATGGAATAACCTAAGGTGCACTTTTTGTTTCACCTCTTTGGCGTATGTGACCACTTTCCGAGCGGTGTGTGAAGTTGCAGCGTCATGATGAATGACCACCTTGTGAAGCTCCCCGGAGTACTTCTTCGGAAGCTTAACTTCAATTAATGGTTTTCAAACTTTGCTAATATAGTAGGCAGCATCGACCTTTACTTTTTTTGGTACTCTGAACAGTGGGATAATTCCACGGCACGAAATAACTCCAACCACCATGAACGAGTTGTAAAAGTTGTCGTGTTGAGCAACCCAATGTTCAGGCGTACATTTTCCACGGGGGACGTAACATATTCATCTGCAATAACTTGTATTATGAAGCCCCCTCATCTAATGACACTAGGAACTCCCGTTTGCGACCAGCCAAATATTTTTCATAAAATGACCTGCACGTAGTCTCGCGAATTTGCTTGTAGCGGGAGGAGGAGCCGGTGAACACGATATTTCCTTCTCTTGACGAGGGCCAATTGATGCAAAATACGACGTATAGTATCCTGTGAAACATGGACCAAATTCCTCTGGTAGGGATTCTTTTTGGAGGCCATAGTTTTGACCTTTCTCATCATGGCTGTAGTGACCTTCCGTTTGCGAACTTTAATAATTGGCGGCGGAAGTCCCTGTGCTTGATTTTTCCGTAACATACCAACATTATTAACAATATTGGACACTGACCTCTTAGATATGACATGTCCGAGAATTTTCAAACTCTGCACTATGACCCTGGAGGTCAATCCTTCCATGTAAAGTGCTGAAACGATACCCTCCACTTTAGGGTGGATTTTCTTTGGCATTATTACACTTATAAAAAAATAAAAATTATATTTCGAATGACGAAGGTTCCCTTATTTTTGACAATTTAAAAAAAATTCCCGCCAAACATACGTGAGATATAAATTTATGAACTTGAGCAAAACGGAATCGTTCGCCCTCTGTAATGTACTCTTATCGTTAACTTTAAGTTAACGATCAACTTCCGAATTTTTTGTTAATGCAGATACATGTATCTAGTATAAAACATTTTTATCCTAGATTATTATTTTTGTAATAAATATATTACTGTAAGAGTAATAAATGTTGACGTTACAAGTCTAGTAGACTTTTAAATTCCTTGGAATCATGAGCGAAATTGAGTATTAATAATACCACACATTTAAATAAATTACCCTTGAGCCGCCTATATATATTCAGGCATATCAGAGGCTATGGAAAATCGAAAAGGCAGCACTAGAAGCTGTTAAGAAATTAGGGCACCACTATTGGTCATTCAATAGTGGTGTAGATTGAGTAAATTTATTAAATGAATTATTATAAGATGGGTTTTAATGAAGTTACAACTGACATGCTGTCATTCAGTTCGACACAAACCCCGACCTCCCCTTAGTTAGCCTGTAGTTCTTGATGGAAATGTTCACTTGTATTCCGGTCTGCCACCTCCGATTTCGAAAACAGGTCATAGACTGCAGAATCAGGTGTTGTAATGCTTCGATAGATCGCCGTCAACGAGGCAAAAACGAAATAATAAGCTAAAACTAATAAAGTACAAAGTTCTTTATTCTAAGAATTGAAATATGATGCAAATTTGAGAGTAAATAATGTTGCAACAGTTTGAATTCCAATAGTGCAAAAATATCACGTTGGTCTGGGAGACGAACTCCCAAACTCATCATCTGCAGACTTTGAGTTAGACCACTGTCCAATCCCAACGCCTATTCATCTCAGTATTGGAAACTCTCTGTTGTAAGTTCGATATTAATTGAACCAATATCCTATCGAGACTCTCACACTAGAGCATGTTTTAGAGTAGCTATCATTCCATCATTAGGATATGATGCTCTCATGCCACAATGTTGTTAATTTATTCAAAAAATTTGATACGTAGTTATTACATCAAAAGCATTTGTTATTTACGGTTAGGGCTCGTCGGTGACGTTTTCTTGTATTTTTTACATGTTGCCCGTCCTTTTCTGAGCACGTAATTGCTGTTTCCACGATTGAAGCAACTCAAAAATATCTTTGAACCTTTCCTCTCTCGCCATTTCTTAACCATGGCGGAGCAACAATTCCTAAAAAGTGCACATATTTTTACCCCAAGATATCGAATACATCTCCAAATTTCTCTCCTATAAAATACAGTGCTTGACTGTATCTCAATTCCGAAACAGAGCAAAATTCCCGCCAAATAAATTATAAAAATTGTCTGTATCGAATCCCTTAAAGTGATGGGTTTAACTCTTAACCTATCTCCATATTGTTGCGTCACATTTTTCGTATATTCTTCCCGCTCAATCTTATTTGGAATATTTGATGTAAAATAGTCATTTAATTTCTGGTAAATTCCCGCCTCCACGAGTCTTTCGAGGTAATTTGTAAGCGGGGTGGGCACATCGGATTGTAGGATCCATGCCATCGAGACGTACAATATGGGGGCTTTTCCCACGGTGAAAGTTAACCAGTGATAATGCCCGGACAAGTAGTTGGCTTGTTTCCTGATTGTGGACGTAAGGTCGTCGAACGCTGTTTTCTTACCGATTTGACAAGACACAATTTTCTTTTCGATTTCGATATATTGCTCGATTTCGGGAATATCTGGAAAATCCGATGACTGATATTCCATTGCGGTGTACCAAATCTGGAAGATGGACATCTAAATTATTTTCAACATCATGGAAAATTTCTTGAAAATCTCAGTGTTTAGGTAAGCTTAATGTTTCGTCAGATTTTGAATTTGGAAGAATCCTAAGAGTTAAAAATCAGGAACTTCTCAAAAATGTTGAAAATGAATTTTTCAAACTTCAGGTTCGTAATTTCTTCTAAGCATACATATATTACTGAGGTTTTGAAATCCGGCCAAAATATTTAAAAAAGTTACGTTACGGCGTCTTGAAAGGCCATGGTTTTACCTGAAAATGTCAATAATTCCGCCAGGCCGTTAAATTCGTGCATTGGGAAAAATATAAAAATTCCCGTTTCCGTATTTTAGATGCTGAGCAAATTAAAATCTGGGGTTAGCCGCTCGCTTCGTGTATTATATACTCCACAAGAGTGAAGTTCCACATGCATTAGTTCATAAACTTTGACAAATACATCGTTTTGTAATTTCACCCCAAATTTGGAATAAAACCTAGTAAAACCCTGTGGGAAGTGGATTAAGGAGTAAAACCCAGGTTTTTTTCCTAACCCTACCGCCGAGTTTATAAAAAACTCATTGCCGAAAATGCAAATATATATTTTGTAAGGTTACCGCGGGTACCGGGCCGGGTACCCGGCTACCAAGCCATTTTACCCCAAACAGTCGGGTACCCGGTAAAGCCAGGTATTGAGAATTACCCGGCCGAGTAATTCCACTTTCTCACTTTGCGTTTTCTGGGCATACTGGGCTAAATTTTTATGAGGTTTGTTCATTTTGACTCATTAATTTATCGCCAGCCACTTCGAAACTTACATCATTTTTGTAAATTTACAAATTTTCACTTAAATTTTTACAAAAATCATACAAACTCAAACTAAAAGCAATCTCCTCGTTATCTCGAGACTAATTCTGAATCATGCAGAGTGCCTAGCTGTCTTAAAACACAATTTGTCAATTCATTGTGTATCAGTATTAAAGGGTTTTAAAAAATATCTACAGAAATGTAACATGTTGTTACAATTTTAAGTAAACGTTTAACTTTCTTGATGGAAGGAATTATTAGTGGACTAGCTCACAATTTTATTAATTTATGTTACTAAAAACATGATGTTATTTCGTTATTTTTGAATTTTTGAATTAATGTTCGTTGCGAATCTGGTCCCTTGCAACAATTGAATCAGGTTTTATCCAACGTGTACTTGGTATTGCAATGACATCGCTATGCATAGTAGCATTTCTACTTCGATTCCAAGTATCGGGGGATTATGTGCAAGTGCAGTTTCTTAATTTCATATTTTCCACGAAGAGTATGGATTAGACTAACATACTTTTGAATACAATTTGCTTTAAGTATTAGAGACCTTCAGATTTTCGGGCGCTGACTGTGACTGTAGGACAATCAGAATCAGAATACATGTATTCTAGGAGTTTCAGATTTTACTCGTACTAATACGCTGATTGTAACCTTAAAATTTTGAGAGGCAATGGTTTCTTAAAATAGTAATCTTATAAGGAGCCAGGGGGAAGTGAGAAAAACTGGCAGGAGTTATAAATTATACAGTAGAATCCGAGTTGGGGTTGGGTCTCAGAGCTCGTTATGTGGACTGTAGACATGAGTGGGAAAATTTAGATGACGTAAGAACCTACAGTCTAGAATCCTACTTTTTGCTAGAATATGAAAATCTAAAGCTCTCTAATAGCTTCAATTGTCACGAAATATGGAGTATGAGGTACAAATTAAGCCGTTCTATGACTCAATTTTTTTCAGATCCACCATACAGCCGAATAGAGAAAATTATGCTGATTTGCCTTCGTTTATTCATGAACATTGCGGTAGTCGCCTGTCTCACAGTATCATCGACGTTCAGCCTCCTGACTGTATTCTTACCATGCCAACCTGGTCTTGTTAGCTCGATCATGTGCACGAGAAAATTTGCGTTTATATTTTCCTCGCCTTGCAAACCTGGCATGCTCGTTACATTTGCAACTTCAGAATTTTTAGTTTGCTTGCAAATTGGCATGGGTGCGATGTTCAATATGATAATTCTACTTTTAATTGGCATTACATTCCAATGGATTGAATCTGGATCATTTTTTCGAAAATATCACATGGGAACCGCTGATCAAGTGGGATACCGGGAAGTTCAAATTTTTGAAAAACTCTTGAATTCTTGCACTCGGGACAGAATATTTTTGAAAATGGCACTCCTCATGCCTTCACTGCAGATTTTATTGTCCTTCGTCGCCATTTCGATGTACCAGTCGAGCGAAGTTGGTCCCTTCACAGCTGGCATGTTCCTGTCGGTATATCTTCTAACCTTGGCCTTTACCCTACAAGCGTTTTCAGCCGCGGCTCAGGTAAATGAGTCAAGTCTCAAGTGGATCGAGTCATGTAAGGAAAGGAAGGCCAATAAATTTCAGAGTCACGTTATTCTTTGGAAATGATGTGCACTCAGGTTCATAGATTTCTTGCTTCACCACACCAACAGGTTTGCGTGTAGCAACAGTTCAAGAATAATTTTGAAGTGGACCTGTCGAAATTTTGTTAGAATTTACCTACGTGAGTAAGGATCTCACCTGTTTCAACATGTCCATCGTGTGTCCCGCCTTGGGATGTAAATTTCGTAAATGCCTCATTGTCAAGGCACCAGCCAGAATGATTCCCAGCTACAAGAAAATTACAGCAAACATTAAATTTATAGCTCATATTTTGCACGGGCGTAAAGTTGCGTATGTATTTAAGTATGAAGCTGGCGTAGAACTTATAAAGGGTGTCCATTTAATTCGTTAACATTCCTCCCGTGTGTGCCAAATAACGTCCTCCTCGTCAAAAATTGTGTAGAACGTGTGGTCAGTATTTTTACTAGATACACCTATGGGTAAATTCATGGGTTATTTTTTAGTGTGGTGGTTGAGTAATGTGTAATAATTACTATGGGAGCACAGAGGTTAATATATAACAATAATAACAACTGGATTTATTTAGAGTGTTGATATTATACGTATGTACATATGGTGATTGTGTATACGGATTACTTATTAGATAGTGGGTAATTTGATACTTAATTATTTGGGGTGAATAAGTACAAGGTTAGTTGAGTAGTCTCATTGCTCCCAATTGGAGGCAAGCTGAGACGTGAATACAATGTTGTATAAAGTAACACTGTATCTTATGATGCACGCTGTTGATGCGTGATGATGGTGGTGGAGACCCTGGCTGGCTTTCTACTGCAGGTCGGACGCGCGGAGACGGGTGCATTTGCCTTTGCACTTTTGCATTTGCATTTGAGGAGATTTGTGTGGTCAAGAGTAACCAAACAATGCATATGCTGGAACATGGTGAAGTTAGCAACTTCTCTTCCCATTCCATGCATGCATACACACAAAACATTTTACATCATTGCCATTTCTCCACAGCTTTTATATACTATTGACATTGCTCCTACCTTGGGTAGCAATGCAATACTAACGTGCATGCATGTTTCTAAACAACCTAAGTCTTCAGTCCTTTCACCTTTAGGTTCAATCATGCCTTCACATCATTTTTTGCCGGTTAGTGCTAACCCTTCAAAACTCGATGTCAAAGAATTACATTCACACCCTTTACCCATTCAGTCACGCCTTTGTGGAAAAAGTTCTGATGCATTGTAAATACTATCAGATCTAGCATAAAATATCAGGAACTAAAATTCATAACTCACCGCTGTGTACGACCTTCCTTTATGCGGCTGGTCATTGCGTAAATAGTATAAAGCCGCCAAGAGGAAACCGTTTCTCAACAACTGGGCTAAATTGGTGTAGTTTGCGTATCGTTGAAGGCCATAATTCATTAATTCGTTCAGCTCGTACACCAAAGAGATGCTAATGTAGAAAAGCAGCACAACATATAATGCTGGTTTACTGTCAGCATCCCCGTGAGCCACGGCAACAAAATGGGCTAAGAGGCACATCCACAGCACCTGTGAAATGAAAAACTCATTTTTAACAGAGAAAGGCAAGAGATTAGGATGCAAGATGGAGATAATGTTCACCATACACTATTCAAAGATTGCAGATAAATCGTGTAAATTTTAACGATAAACATCAATATCTAACAACGGACGAGGATTAATTCTATGATGAACTTTACGCATAAGGCTTACAGATAGATCAAGATCGCAATCATAAGACCAAATGAACTCTAATACCAGTTTAACATTAAGAAGTATATAGATTGATTAGAAAAAAATTGAATATCTTTGCATTTTATGTCATGCAAAAATATTTATACATGCAGAGTTCTGTTGATTCGCAGCTACATATTAAAGATTATAACTAGATTAGATAGTATATCAGTAGTTACTAGTTAGATTACATATGTACCCAGTAGCTTGAGTTGTTATAACTTATTAAATTTTGTTCTAGAAATATCAGAATTTAGATAAAAAAATAGAACCTCGTCTGATAAAATACAGCAGAAGCCGAAGATCAGATATAAGAGGTTATAATTTTTTATCTTACAATTAGGCTGGTATCCTAGTTATTACAGGATCGGGCGCTTGTACAGAATAATGTTTGACACTTCATTACAAATTGCCTGTTTCAAAAATCCTCCGTATTTAAAACGTACCAGGCTCCCAACACCTTCTGAATGATGGTCAATATGTTTGGGATTTTTCAATTATCAAGACGGATTCGAAAATTAACCCCTGAAATGTGCCTTAATTCTTTCAGTTCTTGTAAACGACGACTTTATTCCCTATCAGAAAACGATGGAGAACACGTAGAAAATATCAAAAAAGTTCACCGACGAGTGCATAGGTCACAAAATTAAGGTCAAACATTGTTCGAGATACAAGCGCCCGATCCGCTGTAATGGTCTTTATGTATCTATGACTAATTTTTAACGAGTTTGCTAAAACAGCAGGATGTTTTTCTTTATAAATAATTGCACAATAATAAATTGGAAGGTCACTGACCTGAATTATGAGAAGGATTGTAGTAACGGGCCGGAGGTTTTGATACTTCAAATGGACAAAGAGTTGCATCGCAGGGTGCAGAAGGACCATCCTCCGTTGCTCATTGGTCCATTCAGTCATTGATGAGCGAACTTTTGAAGTTTCTGGAATATACATGTTAGGATTGTAGTTCCCCGTAATGCAGCTGAAAATGAAAATAAAGAAAGCAAATTTTCACACAGTTTTTCACACCATTGTATTCCCCGATAGTTGAAGAGCAAGTGTTGCACATTTTGTGGAATTCAATTATTCATTGCTGATCACTGTATTCGGGTTTTACTGGATTAGGGTTTACTGGGTTTTACTTAAGATTTACTGAAATCAGCCAACCAAAACAACTTTCACAGTTGGTTTTGGTCAATTTGTGCATTATTTCACAATAAAATGCAAACTTCTCATTCACTTATTTTACCGCACCAATTGAATAAAACCCAGTAAAATCCAATTCAACCCGGTAAAACCCGTTGGGTAGTAGTTTTAGAAGGAAATCCCGGGATTTGTCCTAATCTTGTTATTGACTAATAATTAAATTAATTGCTATGGTTTTGCAAAACATGTACATGATTCGTGCATATTCCGAAATATTTTCACCCTGAAGTGTCACACTGTTGTATCCACTGTTTAGTCTGGATAATTTTTTTGTAGACTATAATTTTGGAAATATTGACGTACGTTGGTGCCCAAATGAAATCTTCGTCAGGTCGGCTGTCCAAGAGAAAGAGTTTTCCATCATGAAGTGCATGAAGATTGGAACAGTAACGTATTTTTCAAGCTGTGAGGCTTCTTTTTTCCTGTAGAATATTTCGTTGGATAATTGCGTGATATTTCATGTATAATTTTTTTTATTGTTGAGTTACATTTCATTGGCGAAACTGCCAAGTTTGATGGGACTTTTCATGGTGTCTAAAAGTTTCAAAATTGTGGATGGATGACAATTTTCCCTGGCGTAGTCGAACAAGGTTTTATTAGCGTCATCCTTCTCGTCGAAAATTGACATGTAGTCATACTCGCGGGAAAGAAGGGTGCGTATGCATTTGTCTCCATCATCAGAGAAGCCTGTAGGGGATTAAGTCAAGGCAACTGAATGAATTTACGTGAAGCAAATTTGACGAGGGAACCATTTTGGGTGTCTAGCTCCGAACCGCTGGATATAAGTATCAAAATGTGCCACATTTAATGCAGTCAAAACTTCACCATAGAAAATTATCTGCAAATTGAGGTTAAAGAAAGATATCACAAAAATATGGACAAAAACAGGCATTTTTTGCATGGGAAGGTGCATGATGAAACTGGCTTCATTGCGATTCTCCACATCTTTACAGGATCGCCGATTTCAGAAATTCAGTACATTTTTACAAGATTTGCGTTCCTCTTAAAATTTTAACATTTTTAAAAGTTGAATTGTTTGAAAATTTCAACATTTTTGAATTCTAAGTTTTTTCAGAATTTTTCGAAATTATTACATATTTTTAGAAAATTTTCCAACTTTTTCCAGATTTCAAATTTTATCAAAATTTTCCAAAATTTTGAAAATTTCTCGAAACATGTCAAAATTTTACGAAATGTTTCAAAATTTCAAAATTTCTCCGAATTTCAGAATTTTTCAAAATTTTTCACAACTTCTCATAGGTTCTTCAATATCGACTCAATTTTCAAGATTTCCACAATTTTCAAAATTTCCACAATAATCAAAATTCTCGTATTTTTTTGATGATTTGAAAATATTTCAAAATATTTTAACACAATAGTACAAATTTAGGGTGTAAAGATGTGAATCGGACTGAAGCCTGTTTCGCATGCACTTTACCATGCAAACAATGCCTGTTTTTGTCCATATTTTTGCTCATATCTTTCTTTAACCTCACTTTGCAGATAATGTTCTATGGTAAACTTTCATTTGCATTAAATTCGGCGCATTTTGATACCTATATCGTGCAATTCGGAGCTCGACACCCAAAAAGGTTCCCTCGTGAGTTATTTGAATGCATGCACTGTGTATGTGTGTATCTTCCCTGCCGAGAAGAAAGTGGAATTGTTACGCGAACTCTCTAATCCTTGTTGATGTTATCTATAATTATTTGATTATTAAGGAAATCTCAACTTGAGATTCTCAAATAACCTGGCTATTTGAGAATCTTTGAAGAATATCATAACAATGCTCATTGTTAATAGGAAGATCCATATATATTTATCTACTTATGATCAGAGTTCTACACCACCGGTCACTTTTTCATGTCGGAAAAAATTCCGGCGAGTCGCCCAAACGTGTTCAAAAACAAAAATTTCATTCATAGTCATATCACTTTGATTTCTGAATGACGATTCTCACTCATTTTCATTCATTTTCTATCAAAATCATGTCATTTCATATCATTCCGTATCATTCTTATGGGGCCCCATGTATTAAGTATGTGGTGATAGGAAATGAAAGGAATGACAATTATCATTCACGCCCAAAGCTGTGAAATGACCGAGTTTTTCATTCATAGTCATTCACATTCCACTAACATGATTTTTATTCACTATCATTCAGTATTACAGTAGCTCTTATGAATGACATTCAACAGGTATGGAGTCGCCTATAGAAATAATGCTTGTCGACAATTTTTAATGCCGATTTTGTACAAAGTATATTTCTGATTTACGATTAGTAGGCACAGTGTTCTTAACGAGATCGAGATATCTCGTCTCATTCTAGACGAGATCGGAACGAGACGAAATGGACAAAATCTCGTCTCGATAATATCGCTATGAGACGACTTCGAGACGAGATAATGTGTCGTCTCGAGTCCTTCGAGACGAGATGACGGCTGTCTCGTCTCGAGTATTAGGTATCGAGACGTCTCGAAAATTCATAACGTCATCTGTTGTCAACTTAAGATTCTAAATTTACAGCGGGATTAAATTTTACTTCTAGCAATCCCAATTTAAATAAATGTTTATTTACTCCAATGTTCAATTGTCAGGTTAAAAAACAGCGCAAATAAAAATAATGCCCAAAATATCAGACACTAAACCCAACATCCATAGCCTTCATAAGAAATTGTTTTAGTCTGTGACAATGACACCAAGTCAGGAAAAATCCGAGGTCACGAACACATGTACAAGAATGTACACGAACATTTTGAATTAAAAAATCTAAATTTAATTTTAACCCTTAGCGTTTTAAATATTAACCGTTAACTGCCAACGTACTAACGATTGACGTTTAAAAGTGTGAATTGTTTCGAACGGTAAATTAGAGTTTTGAACTTCGACAGTTTCCACAGGGTAACATGGTCATCGTTCGGCAAAACAATAGTGTTTTTGAACTCCCCTTTTCGATTAAGTCTAAGACGGTCAAAAGAACAAATTCCAATTTTTTTTTACCTACAACCTTGCCCCCACGAATTAAGAATAGATAGTGAAAGATTTAAGCTGCAACGAATAAATTAATTTCCCAGGTTTAGTTTACAAGTTGTAAATTACAACTCTGTCGTTCCGTTATTAGATTTTGTTTTGTTACCCTGAAAATGTGTACACAAAACTTTCGAGATTGTCTCGTCTCGTCGAGACTCGAGGCGAGACAGACGTCATCTCGTCCCGAAGAGTTCGAGACGAGACGGGACACCATCTCGTCTAGAAAATTTTAGCCGTCTCGAAAATGGGTCGAGACGAGATGGTTTTTTTCGTCTCGTTAAGAACACTGAGTAGGCATAATTTGTCTTTATTATTGTTACCGATATTTTAGGATGTGAATTATATTTAACACAAAATGTCACCCTCTCACCCGCAGCAGGGCCGGCATCTTCTACGAATCACAGTCAAAATACTGTGCAAGAGTCACCTTAAATGTGTTAGCCAAAATTATTATAAAACACATTGATTTTTAAGTTGTGATAGAAGCTAAATTTATTTGTATTTTAGTCATACTTTATACTACGGGAACTATGGCAAGATACAAAAATTGTGAAATGGTCTTTATTAAATTTAGAGAGAACATGGACAATGCATACCAGCCACCAACTCCATCGTCTTCAAAGAGTGTCATCACAAAGCCCTTTGATACTGTTGACAAGTTTGAGGGCTTCGATTCTTCCATTTGCCAAAAAAACAGAGCTGATATTGTAATGCATTATTGCAATTTTCTCACATACTAAAGAACCTCAAAATATTTATGATATTTTTATTTTCTAGTATTCAACCCTTCGCCAAGTTTGTGGTTCTTCTGCGAAAGAAGCTGCAGGAATAATGCTAAAGCGGATATCTTCTGACCGTGTTGCAATTGGCTACAGTCTTTGGGGGAGGAAGGGAAACAAGAATTTTTCATCGGCGAAGGTTTATTCAATTATTAAAGGTAGCTTTGTTGCTTACGCTCAATTTTAACTCCATACTTCCCGATTACTTTTACTATCCGCTTTGCGCTTTACTTTAAAATCTGCTTTACGTTAAAATTTTAACTCCAGGTGAAAAGGAATAGTATTTCACACAGCAATCCGTTTAGCATTATTTTCCATTTGGGGAATTTTAACTCCATTTTGCCTTTTACTTTACTACTGTTTTTCCTGCAACCTTCGAGAGTTGGATCAAATTCTACTTTCTCCGAAAGTAAAAGTTATTTGATTGAATTTCGTGCAGTTTTTAATTTTTGATATTTTTTTATTGGATGGATTTAATTAATTATATTGTAAATGGTGGTTGAAAAGTCGTTGCTCGATGATTGTTTCCGAGAATTCCGATGAAATATTATTCCAATTTGCTCATTTCACGATTTGGAATTTGCTTGTTTGGGAGATACATACGTCCAGCAGATTTACCGCAAAAGAGGACAATGGAGACCAAAAACTACACTCTTAAGAAATATTAATGACTTGGAAAAAATCACTACCGGATGGAACGTATGCTCAAAGTAAGTTGGTAATAAAAGACCGTTTGTATTCGCTGTGTAGACCAACCGCGTTGGTAAACAATAACCGCACTGTGACAAGTTCTGCAAAAACCAAATTTGCTACCAAACTGGTAAGAATTTGTAATGGGAGGGTGACAAATTTAAATTTTGCGGAAATTATTTTATTTTGGTGGAAATTGTTACAAATCCAGTAGCGCCCCGCATAGTTGGGCGGTGACCGGTGCCCGAACAGGACGCCGGACACCGGAAACCACGGACGCCGGACACCGGACACCGGACACCACGGACGCCGGACACGGGAAACCACGGACGCCGGACACGGGAAACCACGGACGCCGGACACGGGAAACCACGGACGCCGGACACGGGAAACCACGGACGCCGGACACCACGGACGCCGGAAACCACGGACGCCGGACACCGGACACCACGGAACCCGGACATCATGGACACCATGAACAACACCACAAATTTTCCCGGACTACATGGACACCTCGGACACCGCCCAACTACGTAGTTACTAAAAACGGTGACAATTTATTATCAACTTACAATGCAACGTTGTCGGCGGCTAAACTCAGATTTTGATGGGACTAATTTTAATTTGCTTAGGACCAAAAATAAGCAGACCCGTATTTTTTCTTTTTCTCGAATACGCGATTTTGATAGCGTGGCGGAATTTTCAAAATCATTTTCAGCCAAAATTTAAGATTTTCAAAATGCTACAACTTTTCGAATTTTGGCGCGATTTCAAAAAATCGAAAACATGTATCCTCAGATTTACATTCTGAATTTATAGAAACTATAATATATTTATTTTTTGAAAATTCCAAATTTTGCCGATTCTTTGCATTTTTCAAGGTTCAGTCACAGACCTAAAATTCATAATTTTTGAAAATTTTGAATACACATTTATTTTTTTTAATTCGAGTAAGTAATTCTAAACATGCATGTTCTCGACTTTTCGAAATCGCGCCAAACTTCGAAATGTTACAGCTTTTTTAAAATCTCAGATTTTGGCTGAAAATGATTTTAAAAATCCCACCAGACGTTCAAAATGGCCCATTCAGAAAAATGCAAAAATATGGGTCTGCTTAATTTTGGTCCTAAACAAATTAAAATTAGTCCCATCAAAATCTGAGTGTAGCCGCCAACAACGTTG